CTGCCTGCTCTTTTACAGTACGATCAGGTCCTCGATCTCATTCTCAATGTTCTGCACTGTATCTTGGCACACAAAACATGCTTTGGCAATAGGCAGCTTTATCTCTTGCCAGGCTAAGTGAATGGAATGCTTGGCATCCAGCAGGGTAACATCTTACACAACTGTGGCCGCTGAAATTTGAATCTGTTTAGTAAATAACACTATTAATTTGCATGTATAGCGGCGTTTTATAACCTGAATGAGGGAATTCATGCTAGCAGGCAGAACATTACTCTTGCGTGGCTGACTCAGATGCTGTCACTGAGAGATTAACGTGAAGGTGGGAGTCCAGAGAAGAGTGACCAGTATAATATCAGGCTATAGGGCACTAACCTATGGGAGAAGAGCTGAACCTTGTTTTTGTTAAAAAAAATTGAGGGAATCACGATCTAGGTCTTTGAAATGCTGGGAGGAATAGCTGAGGCAAATGGTAATAATAATCCTTGCATTTGATATAGCGCCTTATCACATGGTTATGTCTCAAAGCGCTTTACAGAATATATGTGAAGTGAATTGACTGTGTGTAAATATATTAAGTGGTCTGTTTGCTTTATACCATGAACATACCACTAGAGGATACAACTAACAACAACAAATTGGATTTATCTAGAGCCTTTCACATCAGGGGAACATTCCAAGACGCTTGACAGTCAAGGGTTTGCATCCGAGCTGAGAGTTGGATTCGGGAGGGCTGGGGACCAAATGGGTTGGGGGTGGGAAGATGACCAAAGCACAGTCAGAGAGTAAGGTCTTGAGGCAGACCTTGAAGGAAATAGGGAAGGAAGGGTTGAGGTGGAGCTCCTGAATGGAGTTTCAGAGGGTGGGGGAAGGAAGGCTGAAGGCCCGACCCCAATGGTGGGGCAGACAAGGTGGGGGAAATTTAACAAATTTTAAGTGAGACTATGTTTAAATGAATCCTGCCTCCACCCAGAATAATAGATATTTTCCCCTAAAAAACAGCTCATGTGCTGATTAACTCCTTCAAAAACCTCACTGAATTTGGGTACTTTAGTTACTTATGAAAGTCACTCACTTGTCCTGGAGGTGGATACCATTCTAAATGGTAATGTACGAGAAGCCAGCTGTGCCATGCGTTGGGCTTCCAGTTCATAACCTTTTACTAGCAGTTAGTCTGATTTGTTTTGTGCAGCTAAATTGATATCCCTCTACCAAGCAGCCCAACGCACTGTTCCATTAGCAAGAAGTCCATTAGCTGGCTTTCTACACCGTTGAGAAGAATATTGAGAGGAGAGTTGTCTTCTATCAGCAAACCTGCAAGCTAGTTATGTTTGATGGTGTAGGGTCACTAAACTGAATGCACATAGATGTTAATTAACACATTGTAATATTCACTCCAATATTAGAAGCTATACAGAGAGGCGCAGACTGTGTTGCTGAGTCTGGAGGAATGGGCTGGGAATGTTGACTTGTGGTGGGAAGCCAACCTTGGTTAAACATGAATGAGTTAATCTTAATGCACCTTAAATACCTTTGGAGATCAAGGAGTAATCTATGCATAAATAGACCCCAGGAGATATAGTGAGTGGCGTCTGCAATAGGTAGGATTTGCTTGATCTGTGGAAGCAGTGTGCTTGATGGACCAACCCTGCAAGCCAAAGCCCTAACTGGTAGGGTGGTCCTAGCTGGATAAGCAGCAGGAAAGCTTGCCAGATAGTGATATCAATGTCAATGCACACTATGGGGTCCCCAAGCCACATGGGGTCTCTATGCATGTGGAGGTGGAGATAATCAAAGATGAGGTTGAGAAAAATTCAGACAATACCTCTGGTGATCTTAAAGAAATTGTGATTAGTTTTGAGAACAAATTTGTATTGTGATAAAAGGAAATAAAAATGAGAAGCTGGTTGTCAGTCTGAGTTGCAGGTTCTTGTTTTCATTTCTTCTGTAGATATAAGGCAGATTTATTTATATACATGCTTTGCAGTTAATTTTCACTCAAAAGTTTTATTACAAATAACAATCATCAACTATTGTTTAATATAAAATATGTTATTTAATTATAACATTTTAGCATACAAAACATATATTTTAATATTCCTTAAGTCTCGACTCCAGAATGACACGAGAGTGCAGTCCCAGATAAGAAGTTCTGCATGGTTGAAGGTGCTGTCTTTTGGGTGAGATGTTAAACCAAGATTGTGTTCTCATGTGTATGTTAATGTTCCCATTCTACTATTCAAAAACAGAAGGGAATTTCTTCTGGTGGAAGAATCCTCCAGGTAAAATTCACCTTATGGTTGTTTGTGAAATTTGGCTGTGTGCAAAATAATGCCTCATTTACCTATAGAACTTCTTTACACAATACAGTAATTATTATTTAGCACTTGGGAGACATTTTAAACATTACAGGCGCTATAAAAATGAAAGTTCTATATTTTTATGCTTAGCGAAAAGATTACTAATTTCAAAGACTTCCAGAGTTACTGTTTGTGCATCTCATAGCGTCACTATCTCACTCCACATATCTAATTCCAGACTTTGGGCTTTATTTTTCTTTTACTTGTTTTCTGCAATCTGTTTTTTCTTTAGCTACTGCATTCACACTATTGTGTCTTTGTTAACCTTTTATGTTGAATATCGCCCATTGTGTTTGTGTTCCCATGCCATAATTCAGCACAATAATAAACCGTTGGAGGATTTTGTTTGCAATCATTTATTTTTCCCAGGAAAAAAAGTTTACACAAAAGAAATGTATGCCCACACTAATGCAAACCAGATTCTTTATGTCACAAAAATGCCAGTCATCATGTAGTGGTGAGATTACAACTCCACTGGTCTGAGGTGGTAGTAAGCAATCAACCATATACCAACTCTCTGTGGACACTCACAGAACTTAGTACTCTTGAGGCATTACATATTAGGGACAAGATAGTGAGTGTCCGATCTACATTTTCCACATTATATCATGCTGCAGTAATGTTAACATGTACTTGGTTTTAACACTGCCTTGCATAAAAAAAATGAAAACAGCGAGTACAGAAGTTTTGCCAATAGTGAGGCAAAACACCAGCCTTTAATTTCCTTTGTGATCAGGGTCTGTCTTTCTAAAAAGGCTCAGTCAAAATTGTCAGCTAGATATCAGAACTTACTTTAACTGCTGCCAAAAGAACAACATTTTGTTCTGTGAAACACAATCATGGTTGTTGGGGATTTTTTTCTTTTTTACTTGTGATGGATGTCAATGCAGAAAAAATGAAAATTTTCTCAGAGCCAGCATCACTCTCAAGTAAGGTATAGGTTAGTCAAGCTCTCTTTCATATATCTCATCTTCAGAAGAGCATCTTCCCCCTAGTGTACCATTGTGACATTTCAGTAATCTAACTATCATTGTGGCTGCTCTGAACAATTTACTACTCATTGGAGACCGTAGGTCCACACTCACCAGAAACTGGATGGACAATAACAACTTGAACTCTTCACACGGGTGGATTTTCAGAGCACAAACAGCACTGTGGCTCAACACTGAGCTGGAAAGAGAGGTGACCAAAGACACAGTCAAAGACAAAAGTCTTCAGGTGGGATTGAGGATGGGCAAAGAGGGGGCAAAAGGAAGGGAGTTCAAGAGATTGGGGGCAATAGTTTATGGCTGAAAGCACAACACTGGACGCTGTTCAAGCACATTTCACACTGGATTGGTACAGTCATAAAACAGTAGTAGTAAATTTAATCTTTTATAAGTCATGCTACTGAACTGGAAAGAGTTCAGGTGGAAACCCAGACTAATTTTTTCCATATTTTGTGTGAAAAAGGTCCCATGACTAAAAATAATTGAAAACCGTTTGCAAACCTACAACAACATACCTGGTTGTACAAAGGAAATGAACAATGACAACCAGTACTTAAAATATAAGTACCTCGATTTGTGGCGGTTAAGCCATCTATTTTAAGATTTGTAGCCTCATAATAATAATCCTTGCATCTGATATAACGCCTTATTGCGTCGTTGAGACGTCTTAAAGCACTTCACAGAATATATTGTAAAGTGGATTAATTGCATATTTTGTGGCCTTGCTTTAAGGTATCATTTTCATGTAAACTGATTTTTTTTAAAAATTGCAAGGTTGATTGCATACCTCGAGTATCACTAATCAACTTTTGAACACTAGAGGTTGGAGATTAATTGCTTAAAATTATAATGCTCTATTTGATGACTGTGTAATGCATCTATTGTCAGTGGTACAGCTAACTCACAAGATGCTCTTTCGTCATAGAAATTTACAGGGCAGTAGGAGGCCATTCCGCATCACATCTCAGAGCAAGCTGTTCAATCTCACTACCCTGCTCTATCCCCATACCCTTCAAGCCTTTATCTTTCATATTCCCGTCTAATTCCCTCTTGAAACCAACAACTGACTCTGCCTCTATCACACACCTTACTGAGTAGTGGATTCTACATCCCAAATGGGTGCGAAAAAGGTGATGGCTTTAATGGTTTGCTCACTTCCATGAAGCTACCAAAATCTGGAAAGCATTAAACATTATCAGCTCCTAGACGACTACACTAGAATTATCACTGTAGTTATTAATGTTGCCTCCAACAACAAATTACACTTGTACAGCACTCTTCACATCAGAAAGATACCCCAGGGCGCTGGACAATCAGGAGTTTTGGACCCGAGTTGGGGTCAGAAGGGGAAGAGGGCAGCGGGGGTGGGGGTGGGAGGGTGGCCGAAGGCAGGATCGAAAAGGAAGGTCTTCAGACGGGACTTGGACGCAAAAGAGGGGGTGAGGCGGAGGGACTGAGTTCCAGATTGTGGGGGCAGAGATGCTGAATGCCCAACCGACAATAGTGGGATGGAAAGTGCAGGGGACCTGAAGCAAGCTGGTGTCCACCTAGCAGAGGGAGCGGACAGGGTGATGTGGGGTTATGAGGTCAAGAGGTAGGGGGGAGCAAGACTGCGGATGGCCTTGAAGGTAAGAACAAGGGTTTTGTACTCAATTCTCTGAGGAATGGGGAGCCAGTGAAGCCGGTCAAGATAGGTTCCCGGAACCAATTAGGGTTAGGGTTATGGAAATGACACGAGCTGCAAAGTTTGGAATAATCTGCACCTTGTGGAGGAAAGCATTAGGAAGTCCAGGGAGCAGGCAGTTGGCAGGCAGATGATTACTGATCATTTTAACCTAATAGGAGACTCAGGCATCGTGGTTCAGTGCCTGGGACATATTTTGCCCTGAAGTAAGTAAGATTGCTTACTGATCAGGTCATTTTTATTGTTTGGATAATAAAAATAACAATCCTTGCATTTAATATAGCGCTATCAGACACCTTTAACACTACTGGTCTAAGATCTGCACTAAAACAATGAGGGATTTTAAATGGGAACATGATTTGGGGGTTATGAAGTTATAACATGCCTCCACGCATACTTATCAGTAAGCTGTCAGACTCCCATGCTATAAAAAACGAGTTTAGCTCTTCAGGTCAATTTGACTTTTCCATCTCATCTTTATTCGATGTGCTCTCTGAAGAGGTGTGAGGATATGGGTGCTTGGGACCTCTGCATGTGGAGGAGGTCATCCATTCAAAGCACAGAGACCCTACAAGGCATATAATCTTAATTTCTTCATTCTCAACAAACCAAGTATGGATAAAGACTTGTGTGGAGTATAAACAACTAGCATGGACTGGTTGGCCTCAGTGGCCTGTTTACTTAGGACTTTGTAAGCACCAAGTAAAGGAAAGTTGACAGTCTTTATCAGGCATCATTAGGGAATCCACCTGCCAGTTGTGACCTATTTAATTGCACCTCATCTGTGCCCACTAAATATAAGCAGTAATAATTTCTACAATATGCAGATTGCTCTGAGTAGAAGCCTGAAGTTTTAAATTAATGTCTAACGCTTACAATATATGGCCGTACTCCATGTAAAGTAAAGCCTTTACTTGATAAAATAAGTGGGTATTCTACTATTTTGCCAATCGTTGCTTGGAGGTTTAATTTACTGTTCTAAAACCATTGGATACCGACAGTCTTCTAGTTTTACAAAAATTTAGTTCCAGCTACATAATGTTTTGCAGGCATGCCCACAATTAATATTTTACGTAGAAGAAAAAGGAATGAACCACAGCTTCAGGTCAACCAAGTGCTGCAAGTACTACAGGAATCACATCATATAAAAGAGCATCAAATTGATAGACAAATCCTATGCCACAAACTTCTTTCATTTCAAATTATATGTTGTTTATGGGTGGCTTACACATCACTAGCACAGTAGTTTTTTTTGACTTGATATAAATCAACTAGCAACTCCCTGACTTTAGATGAACAATCCAGCTTGACAACTGAGCAAAGTCTTTTCTGTGGACCTGAGGGATCATTCTGGCAATGCTCTAGCCCAGTACGTTTGTAAGACTGTAACTCCCAAATCGGTATCTCCACATCACCCGCTATAAGCGTCTACTTCACCATGAGAATTCAAGAGAAATGGAAGTAATGTGGACATGGCCATGTGGAATGCTGACGTTCACAGACCCTGACACTCTCTCCTGAATATGTAACACCCTTACTGTTGATACACAAACATCTATTTTCACAACCAGCGAGGAAGTGGTAGCTAATAATGCCCTTTGAGAACAATATTCTCTTGGGACCACCACCTTAGAACTAGAGAAAAGACTCTATATATTTGCTGAGTAGGACACAAGAAGCTGTGAGGAAACCATTGGCAGGAGAGGTTTAACTGTAGCATTCTGATGCAGACATACAAAGTGATGGCCACCATTAGATCAAGATAATGTCCTAGTGAGATTTGAGATCCTCTGTGCAAAGATCATATCAGTCACAAGTGAAGTTTGGCTCACTTGTTCTGAATCCTTCCAGGATACTCACTCTATCTTTCTCCCATTACAGAATCTAGTACTTTCTTAAATGGATCAGTTGGTTTTGTCTCAATCCCCCTGCCTGGTAACCAGCTCTACCTGTTGATTATCCTCTGGATAACAAATTTTTTGAAAAATAAAAATACTTCTTGGCATATCCTAAACATTTCTTGAACCTGTACTCTCTTGCCCTTGCTTCCTTGCCTTGTCTCTCAATTGTATTCTGGGTTTAGTTCCTTAATCTATTTAGCATCTTATCTATGTCCAACTGAGTCCAAAACAAGGCACCTTCATTGGTCATTATAAGTTAACAGTTTCTGGAATTTTCAAGGAATATTTTGGACAAATAATTGAATATCTCTGTTGAGGTGATCACCTAAGTAAGGACAGATATTCAAAGGGTGGATAAGCAGTCACAAGAAGAATTTCAGAAACCATCCAGTGATGGGAGATAGGAGATAAATACCATGTACTGATTCCTTTGATCCTCAAAGTTGAACCTTAGATATGTTTGGTGAGAAAGCCAAATGACAATGTGAAAATAGGTGTTCTTTAGTCCAAATGTGGGCAGCCAGGCCCCAGCCATACTGCCCGAATACCATCTTAAACAGTTTAATCATGTTTTAGTTGAGAGAAATAAAAGAGGGTGGATCCTTCTCTGGTACCGGTCTCAAAGCAAGTGTCTGTAATGCTTTGCTCCCAACTGACCATTAAATGCAGAAAGTTACCTTCCACTTAAGAATCTTATTTGTTATTTCATGGGAAACCATGGTATGGTTGGTGGAAGATGACCCTAGTGTGTAAGAAGTCACTGGTGAATATCCTGTTATCCTTATCACAAATGGTGTTAACAGTATCTTTGGTGGAGGACTGAAAACCTGGGCAGACCCATAAAATGGTCCAATTTTGCCCTCAGTCATCCTACTCTTAGTTCCATCGTAAAATAAACTGAAGGCACTTGCTTTCCTGAAACAATTCAAACTTCCTTACTTGGGATTTCCCTCCATTACTATTAAATCTATGACAACTCTTGTAATTTCATTTCTCCACCTTTTCTTTATCTTCTCTCTTAATATCATTATTTGCCCAGTATCTATGTCAATTTGTGAACACCTCAATCAAGTCCTGGGATAGTCCGTTCCATATTCACATGACTCTCCAGGCTATCCAGACCAGAGTGGAACCCTATGCAAAAGCATCTCTAACTCACAAATGTAATCACTTAGCTTTCTCAGGCACACTGGACCATGACAACTCAACAGCTGAAGTTACACCACTGAATCAGCAGCTGGTGGAGTGAATAGAAACTGCAAAAAGAGAAAAACAGTATATTATTGAGCAGATTCTCGATTTGAAGAACGTTGTTCTGTGATAGCTGGTGTCATGGGGTTTGCAGGTTAATATCACCTATGCTAAGTCTCAATTGAGCTTGTTGGCCATAACTGACAAACAACGTGATGGATGGAGAGTTTATATCTGTGTATTCTGCAACACAATACAACATTGGCATCAACTTTTGGGACTGCTTTTACAAGAGACAGACAGAGCTCATCATAAATCCAAGACATTACAAATTAGGCAAAAAAACTGCAAGGATGCAGTGGACTTTCAAAATGCAACATCATGTCTGTGGTAACTTTGGAATAGAAATAATAAGGATATGGACAACAGTGAAATCACAACTTCAGACAATTTGTTGATGCATTTTATTGTGAGATGGGGAATTTGGTATAAAACTAGAAAATGACTATCATGTAACTAGGCAATTTAAAAAAAAACTTCTGGTTTGTATCAGATGTAGAGGAATACTGAAACAGATTGGCACAAAGCAAAACATTTTATGTTGTTCCCAACACTGTGCATGACTTTGTAATTTGGCTCATTGAGGACAATAATACCGTTTCATGGTTACACAGTAATTGCAAATAGAAATGCAAAATACCATGCTGTGTAACATTATATTTGAAACTCAGTAGCCCAATGTATTAAAAGTGAGGCAGGGCAAATAACTGGATTCTGAATGTAAAACATATACATTCCCATTTGATACTCTAATTCTACAGTCCAAGGCAAGTAGTATTGTTACATAACACTGTTAAAAACAAAATCTCATTGCAAGAGAACCCATTTGTATTTCCGCTTTGAAATCTTATCAACGTTCCAAATCATTTTTCTTACTAAAATATATTATTGTATTAATACAAACTACAGTATTATACACTACATTGTGTAATAAATAACAATAAAGAAATATAAAAATAAGACATAAATATAAAAGTTTTCTAAAACTAAAAAGGTACAAGTGTCAGTAAGTAGGGTATTAATACTGCCAGGTTCAAGGACATACAGTACAAAATTTGCACAAACATAACATAAGGAACTAAAAAGATAACATCGTAATTTGAATTAAAATAATACTGACTGATAAAATCAACTAACACTGTTAATAACTTGCACCAAAGCTAAGGGCTGGTTAGAGCCACGTTTCCATAATACTGTATTGTAAATGGCACTTGCAGCACGCAGGTCTTGCATAAGGCCAGGGGGATACAAAGCTCCATACCATAATCCTCATTTACCTACTTAACACTTATTATTCTAAAATACTAACCTCTCTCTCTCCAACACTAATACTGTTAGTCCTTCCTTCGAAGACGTGGCAACAGGCTCCTATACATCTAACTATAAGTCTTATCACATCCTTCTGAGACTTATTTTTCTAGTAGCTGCTTTCTTAAGGCTAACAATATGCTTCAAATGAATTTACACTCTAAAATAAGGTCAACTATCATTACCAATAACTACCTTCTAGTGCGATATTGATAAAGGTAGACAATAATACTTAGGAGTATGTTGGATACAAGTATAAAGGGAATTCTGTAGTGCAGAAACTTTCACATCCTTTCATCACCAATGAAATGTTGAGATTCAGCAACTGAGCAAGGAGTTGCAGCAATACAAATCTACAATTCATGCTTTCATTTGCAATAGAAATTTTCATAGAAATCTCTCCCAACTATACAGTGTTGAAGTGAATGGGATTTTTGAATGGCAAAATGAACAGCAACGTGTAAGTAAACGGATAATGCAGAATGACTGGTAGCAAATTCTTTCAAAACCTGTTGGTTTGCCTTTAAATCAAGACAGTCAGTACGTTTATGAAATTTTTCCACTTGCAATGTTTTTTTGCTTTTTTTTAAAAAATACAAACATCATTCCTAATATCTCGACAGTTCATGTGGTAAATTGCTAATTGTTGAGGTTCAGGCACACCGGGGTTTCTACACAGTAGTGAAGAGAAAACACAGCAACATAGACTGTGTCTCTGGAANTTTTTTTTACATGGTACAACACTAATTGGGAACATCTCTTCTCCAAATTATATTCCTGATCAAGTTTTCATTACATTTTTTCATCTGCTGAGTTAGCTTCCAAATCTTTCTTGCTATTTATTGTATCTTCACCCTCCAAATCCTTCTTGCTATTTATTGTATCATCAGCCTCCAAATCCTTCTGGCTATTTATTGTATCGTCAGCCTCCAAATCCTTCTTGCTATTTATTGTATCGTCAGCCTCCAAATCCTTCTGGCTATTTATTGTATCGTCAGCCTCCAAATCCTTCTGGCTATCTATTGTATCGTCAGCCTCCAAATCCTTCTGGCTATCTATTGTATCGTCAGCCTCCAAATCCTTCTGGCTATCTATTGTATCGTCAGCCTCCAAATCCTTCTGGCTATCTATTGTATCTTCCGGTTCCATATCACTGACTAGATCTGTTCTTTTTGCATCTGTTTCTTCTTCTCCTTCTTCCTCCTCAGATTCGTCTTTCATTTCCTCGACACAGTTTTCCTGCGCATCACCACTGTCCTTCTCTTCCTCCTCCTTTTCACTTTCATCTTCTCTCGTGATGCTGTCTTTGTCATCAGAGTCCACGTGGGATGGAGAGGTCCTGGTGTCTGTGTACTCACTGTTGTTCAGTGAATCAGGCCCAGTCTCTTCTTGTTCCGTTCCCTCACGTTCTTCGGCTTCTCGCTTACAGTACGAGTAGCGATGGTTCATGTGCTGCGAGTAGGAGCCTGAATGTGAAAAGCGTTTGCCACACTTATCGCACTGATAGGGTTTCTCCCCCGAGTGGAGTCTTGTATGCTCAATCAGATGGTGTTTGTGTTTGAATGCCTTCTTGCAAATCCCACACTGATGTGGTCGCTTACCTGCCCAATCAATACAAAAATTAAGAAAACTTAAGTTAAATCAAAGTTAAGAGAATGATCTCACATGAAGCTCAAGAATCACTTGGTATTACATGGTTCTGTAATAATAGTATCTAGATTACTGTCATATTCACAATAGATTAAAAATCATAAATTGAAATTAGAGAGGGTACTTCTGTTCCTCCCCAAATACAGTGAATTGCTATGGACTAATTGAACAGCACTTTACAGGCATATTACCTTGGACCCCCTGCTCCTGCACAGTTCCAATGCCATTGGCTACAGGGAAAAGCTAGGGACATCCTGGAGTGGATGCATTAAAAATGTAATGGGAATGCGAATCTTGGATCAACTAAAAGTTGATGTACCAGGAAAAGGGGGTCGGGACTGGGAGAAGAGTGCGGGGGACACCGGGAAAAGGGGGAGCTGGACGGCAGGGAGAAGGGGACGGGGTGGCGGGGAGAAGGGAGTGGGGCGGCAGGGAGAAGGGGGCGGGGCGGCAGGGAGAAGGAGGGGCGGGACCAGGAGGAGGTGGGGCGCGACCAGAAGAAGGGGGGAGGACCGGATTGGGGAAGCGGGTGAGGGGGGGAGCGGGAACGGGAAAAGAGGGGGAGGAGCGGACCGGGAGAAGGGGGTGGGTGGGGGGAGAAAGACACAGGGAAGAGCAACCAGGGGACAGGGGAAGAGGGGTGGGGGAGAGAGAGAGAGAGAGAGAGAGAGAAGGGGGTGCCCTACAGAGGCCAGTGGGAGAAGCGGACAGGGGTGGTGGGAGAAGGGGGAGGCCAGTGGGAGAAGGACCAGTGGGAAGGGGGGGGCGGTGGGAGAAGGGGCGGGGCCAGTGGAAGAGGGGGCGGGAGAAGGAGGGACCTGTGTCAGGAGAAAGGGGGCGGTGTCGGGTGAAGGTGGCAGAAGAAGGGGCGTGCTGGGAGAGGGTGCAGGGCCAAGAGTGGGGTAGGGCCGGGCCGGGAGAGAGGGGGAGGGTCGGGGCCGAGAGCGGAGAGATTGGGAGAGGTGGGGGTGACCGGGAGACGGGGGGGTGACCGGGAGAACCCCATCCTTATCTTACCTCCCAGCCTCATCTCCTTGCCCCTCTACTCACAGACATCATAAGACTCTTCCTATCCACTGGTACTGTTCCCACCCCATTAAAAACCCGCTGTCATCACTCTTATCCTTAAAAAACCCTCCCTGGCCCTATCTCTACACTCAAACTGCTAACCCATCTCCAACCTCCCTTTCCTCTCCAAAGTCCTGGAATGATTTGTTGCTTCTCATCTTCGCTCCTTCCTCTCCCGCCACTCCCTTCACAAACCCCTCCAATTGGGTTTCCGTGCCACCCATAGCACAGAAACAGCCCTGGTCAAAGTGACAAATGACATTCTGTCCATCTGCGACCAGGGCTCCCTCTGTATCCCCGGCCTTCTAGACCTCTCTGCTACTTTCGACATCGTTGACCATTCTATCCGCCTCCACAGCTTCTCCTCAACCTTCATGGTTCTGTCCTTGACTAGTTCAGATTGTACCTCTCACACCACCTCCACTTCATCTCCACAAATGGTTTCTCCTCTAGGGGAACGGGGGGGGTGGGGGAAATGGAAGAAGGGGGGGAGAACGGGAGAAGGGGGGGGAAGAACACGAGAAGGGGGGGGGAAACGGGAGAAGGGGGGGGAAAACGGGAGAAGGGGGGGGGGCAGAACGGGAGAAGAGGCAGGGACAAGCAGCCTGGGGCTCCTGCAAAGCACTACACAACGTGGTCTTACCATTTCCAAAAAGCATTCAAGTAGTTATATTTTTCTCAACAGCATGAGGCCGACAAAAGAAAACACAATGGAAACCACTTTAATATGTTGCGATTATGGATTAGATTGCTTGTATCATGGCATTCTACAACCAGCTGCTTGAATGGGCTCACACAGCAGGGGAGGGTCACAGCAGTGTATCATAATAAGCTGCTAAACATAATAAGCTGCAAATAATCACGGCAGGAGGTTGAATAGCGGTGCCATGGTCAGATAATGGTGTGCATCTTGAGGCGTAACAAAAATTCTAATTTGTATTAGAAAATTACAAGCAAGTTTACATTTATTTTAAAAAAAATACCTGAGATCACCACTGTGATCTCTCGTCATCTCCTTGGTACATCTCTTCAAATTCAATTGTAATAGCATATTACTCTAAACAGGCAGAACAGTGAAACTCAAGAAAACCCGTCAGGAAAGGAAACAGTGCTGTTGCACACATGGACATTTGTGGTAAGGTTCCATTGCCCTACAAGATTCTAAAAGGTGAATATGGACGAGCAAATAAGACACCCACCAACAAGGGAAATGGATATGGATATCTCAATAAGGCCATTAGTGGCCTTAGGAAAAAGCAGCTGAAAAAGACAGCATGTGTTGAGTCTTAATCTTTGTAGTAAATAATAATCTTATTCTTTGAGGTAAAGTAATACAAATGTAATCTTGTTATTATTGTTGTAAAGTGTTAGTGAACTCCACTGCTATCAAATGCCCCCGAATACTAGAATGATCAAACTTAAGTGGTGACAAATCCATTTGACAACCTTGCATGGGGTCTTGATTTACACTTGCACTTTTTCCTCCTCCTTCTCTAGTGATCAAGGAGGTGGGATGAACAAAAAAAAGCACCATTCTTCTATGAAACAATATACAATTTAGTGTCTGCAATTTGAACGTGATGATTTATGCTGCATCTCTCTTACCCGTGTGCTCATACTTGTGCCTCAGAAGAGAGCTGCTCTTCTGGAATATTTTGTCACACAAGTCACAGGCATACATTCCATTCTCTGTTTTTCGGATTTTCTTGCGTGGAGGAGTTGAGTCTGAATCATTCTGGTCATCAGCATTGGACACAACTTCTGAGCTCATCTCTGGCTTTTCCTCCTTCAGGAACAAAAGCACCTTTTTTACATGAATTTTAAAATCTATCAACATAATATGATAATGCAATATAATACTACTTCCCATTGGGACAGAAATTTAAGACAGATTCTTCAGTCAACTGAAATAGTCATAGGTTTAAAACTGAACAATACATATCACTATAATACTATAATCCTTGCATTAGGTATAGCAACTTATGTTGAAATAAAACAAATTACACGTGTATAATGCCCTTCACGTCGGAAAGACGCCCCAGTGCGCTGGACAGTCAGGAGTTTTTGGACCGAAGCTGGGGTCAGGAGGGATGGAGGGCAACAGTGGGTGGGGGCGGGGGCTTGGAAGCATTTGACAGTTTTATAGAACTGTGGACTATGTAAACATAGGTGAATACCCACAAACAGCCATAAAGTGAATGGACAGCTTTTTTTTTTATCTGGGGAGACTGCTGGCTGGAATATTGGGAGAAACTCCTTTCTCTTTTTGAATAGTGCCATGGGGTCTTTGACATCCACCTGAACAGGCAGACAGGGCCTTGGTTTTGTGTCTCATCTGATGGATGGCACCTCTAACAATGCAGCAGTGTGCAAGCACTGAATTGGACTATGAGTTCAGACTATGAGCTCAAAGTTTCAACGTGAGCTTGAATCCATATCATTGTGACTAGGAAGACTAACATTGTCATCCACATATTACAAAGTAGACAGATTCTCCACCTTAAAAAAATGTAAACTTTTAGAAAAGGTACTATCAACCAAGAATAGCATACTTACTGAATGATTTCCATTAGACTGGTTTGGCTTCTCCTGTGATTCAGGCCCATTGGAATTGATTGTTGAATATGTATAGGCCACTTGTGGAATGAAGCTGGCCTGTTTGATTGTAGCCAGGGCTCTGAGGCATGGGACACCATTTGGGTTTGAAATCGCAACAACTGTTGGCAGTTGAGTGGTGATTGTAGGGAGTTCAATATTTATAGGCTTGGCACTTGTTGGGTTTCCTTCAATATTACTAATACTGTCATTTTGTGGTTCTTTCTTTAAGCAAGATAAGTTCAAAGGCTCCTCTTGGACATAATGAACACTGCTATGGTAAACACTGGTAATTGGGGGTCTCTCAATTCCTTCTTTTTGCTGTCTTGGTAGTGAAAGGTCAAGCGGTTCTTCCTGCAGATCCTCCTGGGTACTATCAGGTGTGTTATAGCTTTGTGAATTTCTAGACGACGTAGACGACAGATTCAGTGGTGATGGTGTGTTATTCCTGGAGCGGTCCGATGTCATGTTTAAGGGCTTGCAAGTAATTGGAGAATCTGTCAATTTTTGAAGAGTTTCTGAGTTTGCTGTATCGCCTTGTAGATTGCTAGTATGTGGTGTATTGGCATGACTGATAGATTGATCTGGCTTGCTCTCCTTTTTGCTCTGCACAGGGGACGAAGGACAAGATGGCGGGACTGGAATCTCACCATTTTGCATCTTTTCAAACCATTTTTTCACTTTTTCTAATGGTAGGTTTACAGCAACTGAAATCTTTGCCAGTTCCTCTGAAGTGGGCTGTGCATTTAATGCGTAATATGCCTTCAGGAGTGACAACAGATTCTTCAGTGGTTCTTTATCTGAAGAGATGTTCTTATCTGTTGACTCAGAAGCTCCAGGTAGATTTTCAGGGCCTTCTTCTGCTGAATGGGCTTCATTTTTTAATTGATAGTGCTTTAGCTCATGAAGTGCATTTAGTCCACCGGGACATTCATTACAAAGCAGGCATGTTTTACTAACTGGTTCTTCATTGATCTCAGTTTTTTCTGATTTGATTGAGAGGTCTTCTGGTGGCTTTTCATTCACACATTTTTCTGCAGGATTGGGAATCTCTTTTTTTAAATTTTGTGGTACCACTTGGAGTTGACTTGGCTCTAAGCTGTAGTTGATTATGATTTTGGTTGTTCCATCCTGATCAATTAAGGGAACACTAATTGATGAAATGAGAGAATGACTGTTTTGCTGTACTGATGTTGAGGAGACAGTTCCTGGTTCTTTGGAAGGAAGATTGACATGATTGTTTTCTAATACTGCAACCTTAAGAACATTCTGAATGTCACTTAGATTGATACTAATAGGGGAGACCAGGCCGACAGTTGGCAAAACAACAGCCTGAACCACACCCTGAGAAGGGTTTGTCGTGACCTGGAGGGGGGTCCCACCACTAAACCCTACATTTTGGAAAGAGCTTGCACAGTTGATGCCAGAGGTCACTACCATTGTTTTATACTCATAATCCACAGGTTCAGTTTTAATTTGGTTTACGGTGGGTTGTTCTTGTAAAGGCTTATTGTTCTCCAGCTTATTACGAAGTTGTGTTCTAGCAGGACTATTGGTTGATGGAGAGAGTGATGGCGAAGTGCCTTGAGGGGTTTTAATTCCTGAACGTGCTCTACCATTAAGTGATATGAGACCAATGCACTTCTTACTACTGATGTGTGAGCTATAAGAGCCGGAGTGGGAAAAACGTTTCTTGCAGTTAGGGCATTCATATGGCTTCTCTCCTAAAGAAGGGGCAGGCAGAAATAACAAAAAAAATTACCAGATATTTCTGCATTTAAAATGAAAGATAGGTTATAAAAGTTATTTTCCGTCTTCTATAGCCATATTTTTAAAATAGGTAGCAATCAAATTCCAGTTTATCACTAGAACTAACGTTGTACATCACTGTTAGAAGTTCCATAAACATCCAATAATGATAGGTCCATAGAGGTACAGTATAAATAATACATAACGTACTTTATAACCCTTTAACTCTACTGTATTTCCCCAAGTATATAGGCGACAGAATATTAGTGCTACAAAAAAAAACTGAAGACCAAATTGGAGAGGACAAAAAGAATGTCAAATCAAGAACAGAGAATATAAAATTATCTTAAGACAGTTTCCCCAGGGATAGCTTGGCTTCCATATATCCTCATTCAGTGAATGTCATTTACCCTCTGCAGACTTCACTCCTCCCAACAATGGGAAAATAAATTACTGAGTAAATTATTTCCAAAAGAGTTTTGGCCTCTGAAGTCTGCATGTGACATACAGTCCTCTCCACAGACCAGTCTCCATTTAGGGCAGGTTATAATCACACAAAGATACTGATAACACTCAAAAACACGGCAAGTGGAGAGGGTGGGTGCAAACTATGTGGACGATTCGCTCCATTCAAATAAAGAGGAAGTCTATATTAATACAGAGATAAATGTTTCTTTCTCAGTATTAGTCATCCTTACCTTCAGGAATGTATCACAATACCACCAAAATAGAGGAAGAAAGGCAGAGTTAAGAATAATTTGATAATTCTTGAGTAAGTGACCAAAAAAGTATCTGGAACAGATTACCAAGAAGCATGCTTGAGGCCAGGTCACTGGACTCAGTTAACAAACAGCTTGATGCTGCAATTGGAAGATAGTAGATGGATATTTTGGAGGGCAGATATTAAATAGAAATAATAGTTATCTTGATCCAGAACCTCTCTTGTGATCTTGTGAAAATTTGATTCATACTGTTGATAAAACATTTAAGATTCCTCTGCATAGGCACTTTACAAATCAAGTTTAGATCAATTGCTAAAGCCTGTCTTAATGATCATTTGAGATCTAAACAAGGACTGAGAAAAGTCAATCAGACCCTTTCTAACCAAATCTTTAAAAAAAATTGCAGAAGTGGGGCACGGCAAATCTGAGAAAAATGAACAAGGAGCCAAAGAATAATTCCACAGCCCAGGCCAATAGAAAAGTGTGGCCGCAATTTTTCCGCGGAGTCCACTATAAACAGCGCCCTGCTATAAACTGCTAATAATGAAGTTTCTGTCCCTGGGCCTCTTGGCTGTTTATTGGACTTCACTGTGGGTGGATCCACTCCGGATGTGGGTGCGCGGTGCAGTGCAAGCGGGAAATAGGCTTCACTCCACTTGGATTGTTCCATCCTGATCACTGTTGTGATTGTCTGTATGTCTCTCTCCTGTGTGTGTGTGACTCTCTCCTCTGTCTGTGTGTGTGTGTGTGTGTGTGTGTGTGAGTGTCTCTGAGTATGTGTGTCTCTCTCTCTCTCTGTATGTGAGTGTTTGTGTAAGTGTGTCTTTCCTCTATGTGCTTGTGTCTGTGTGTGTGTCTCTCTGTTTGTGAGTGTCTGTGTGTGAGTATCTCTCTCTGTTTGTGAGTGTCTCTCTCTGTTTGTGAGTGTCTATGTGACTGCATGTCTCTCTGTTTGTGAGTGTCTCTATGTGAGTGTATGTCTCTCTCTCTCTCTCAGTTTATCACAGTCACCCCTTTTGTTTCCTATGCCTATTTGTTGTTTACATATATTGAATAGTGCTTTAAATATTTTTTATGTATTTGGATCTGATTGGACAATAAAAAAGTAATTACATCAAGTAATTGGTGCTCCACAATTGCCACTGGGTATCCAAATTCAGGGAGGAGCTCGACTCGTGGTCGCTATTTTTCTACCTGATGACAACGAAGGTACATACTCTGACTATTAATGAGTAGTAGTCAGAGACTGGTTTTTCGTGCATTTTTACATTAACTTTATTACAAGTTGCTAGCGTGTATAGTTTAAGTGTGATTTATGTTTGTTATCTCATAGTTGTGTTTGCTGATATTTATCTAGTTGTTTAAGATTTAATGCAGAGGGTTGTGAATTTCTTTGAAGCTACAATAACATTTTGTTGAGCTTACTTAAACGTGCTTTAACTCGAGCTTTCTGTATAAATCAAAGGAGAGAATACACAAACTCTGAGTATGTGTGTGTGTCTCTCTCTGTTTGAGTGTATGTGAGTGTTTGTCTCTCTGTTTGTGAGTGACTGTGTGTGAGTGCCTACCTCTCCTCTGTATGTTTGTAAATGTCTCTATATGAGTGTCTCTATGTGTTTGTGAGTGTGTCTATGTGTCTCTCTCCTCTGTATATGTTTGTGAGTGTGTCTCTGTCTCTTCTATGTATGTGTGTGTGTTTTTATGAGCGTCTCTGTGTGAATGTGTGTCTCTCTTTCCTGTCAGAATGTGTGCATGTCTCTCTGTGTGAGTGTGTCTCTGAGAATGCATCCCTCGCTATCTGTGAGTGTTTCTCTCTCTAGGTCGATGTCTCTGTGTGCAGTGTCAGGTCCTGAAAGGCAGGAGGTGGTGAGCTGCTGTAGCCCTGCAGTAAGGACACTGGTCCTGAGTGTCTGATTTTTGTGGATCTCCAAGCCCTTCGAACCTGTGCTGGTGTCCCCCCCTCCCCCTCCCAAATGGGCCACCCAGTTTTTGTTAAAAATGTACTTCAATAGCACGAACCAAACCCTTGGAATTTTCCACATACCTCACTAAATTTCCCCCAAAATGTTTTACCCCCCCACCCAATTTTTGGCAAATACTGGCCCAGCTCATAGTTTGAAACCGTGAAACTTATCCAGAAATGTGAATGATATGATGTTTGCTTTCTTTACTCTCCATGAAACACAGATTGGATATTTTTTTCTGAATAATGTTACCTGTAAATCTGTGAGGTGGCATAGAAAAGAGAGTTGGTACTAAAGGTTGTATAAAAGTATTGGATGGGGCTGGCAAATTGTTGCATTCCCAGTTGCATTGCAACAAAACTGAAACTAATGTTCCATAGAGATACTGATCAATTATGTATGAAATATTCCCTTAATTGTGAATCCCCATTTTAAAGGGGCTAATGAACACAGCATCAAGCATTTTTGATGGAGGTCGTCTCTGCAGATTCACAACTGTGGAGGGGTCTAAGGACAGAAAATCACCTGGATACATCTGCTCTGAAGATCAAGGAACAAATCACCAAACTATCTCTTTTCGCTATTATATCTGAAGCAATAAGGTAAGACAATCTGTACTTACCACTGTGGATTCGTAAGTGCTCCTTTAGGTGATGCTTGTATTTAAACGCTTTTCCACATTCAGTGCACTTGAATTTCCGGTTCCCACTCGTCTGTGTTACAACATGGCGCTTTTTGGAAAAAAAAGCTTCAAAAGTCAATTGCACTTTACAATAGCAGACAGCAGTCAGGTATAAAACATGTATTTTAAATGGTGTTGTAGTTAAGATTAAAATATCTACGTGGCCTAAATAACCAGGATATAATGTTTTTTTTATTGAATAATTGGGAGAATTTACTACTTGAAAGTAAAGATAATCATATTATTCAACTATGACCACAAACGTTCAAGTTACTTTTCAACATAATCTATAGACAAAAATCTGACAAATTGACTCAAGCAGTCAAGTAGTAAACTTCTTCCTTTTAAACAAAGGAGTACATTTTATCTCACACGCGTGAGAGATTGGAGTCAAATACTTTCATGAGAGAAAATTGGGAGGAAAAATTTGGCCATTGTTATTTTGATAAAGATTTACCTGGTCTCGTCCTGACTTATGTGAAGCCACATGACGATCAAGTTGTGTTCTGTAGGCAAAAGTGTAGCTGCAAAGAGAGCAACTGAAGTTGTCTTCATTCTTTTCATGGCGGTACTTAATATGCTCTTTTAGTGAAGTCAAGCGCTTGTATCCTCTGTCACAGTATGGACATGTGAGCAGCTGAGCAAAAGCATCAGGCGGTCCTAAGTGGTACAAAATAATAGCATCTAAGTCATTGCTTCATTTCAACTCACTAAAATAGGGTCCATTTGAGTTTGGGCCAATAATTATGAATTAACCCCAGGGATATTTCAATGTTCCCATCACTGTATGAATTTTAAAATTTGTTATCTAGTCTGATTTGCAATACAGTGATACACAAATAACAAGTTACTGATATATTTAATGTGAAGCTTTTCCTTCCATTTCATGGTTAAGGAGAGGAAACTTTCAACATTTTGTACATTCTGTAGTGAAATACTTGACTAATTAATCATGTTATTCGTCCAGAAGTGGAGTTTGAACCGACAACCTTCTGACCCAGAAGTGAATGAGCTACAAACTGAACCAGGCTGATGCCTAAAATACCTGTTCTAAATAAAAAATAATACCAAATGCAAGGGTTATTATTTAATAAAGCACCTTATCACATCATTGAGACATCTCAAAGTGCTTCACAGAATATATTGCAAAGTGGATTGACTGTGTATTTTTGTGGGAGAAACACAGCAGCCAATTGCACACAGAACTGTCCCACCAACAGTTGTGGATTGAATGACCGAATTATTATTTTGTGGGAAAGGATTTAGTACCCGCAGGAAAGCGATCCACCAATCGACTAACTGGGTTCCTACTTACTGCTGGATAAACAGAGGCATGTGGAGTAAGGAAACTTGCCTAAGATTTTGTCCCGTCTGGGAATCGAACCCGGGTCCACTCGCTTGCAAGGCGAACTACTACGCTATGGAATTCCACAAAAGGCAAAGAAATTCTAGAAATGCCTGACAAAAACAGACCTCATAATGTTAACAGCCCACCTTCAACTGCATTTAAGTGACACATTCTTTCCTACATTTCTCATGATATAAAAACAATTTCTGGTACTAGTATGACTATCTGTCAAATTCCAGAGGCGTAGTACTAGAACTCTTTCACTTGATAGCTATTAAACATGAACATCAATGTCTTAATTAATGATCCTTATCTACTAATTCTTTCTCTATAAAATAGCTGTTTCATATTAATGTCACTTTACAATAAGTGTAAAGGGGGGGTGCCCTGAGAACATTAGACACGGACTGCAAGGTGAGGCATAATTATTCATATTTTCTGAAATTGTTCAAGGGTCACTGAAATACAGTCATTATCTACTGTTCCATATATGTTGCAGACAACTCTGTGCACTCTCTCTTAGGCTTTGGCAGTGAAAATTTCTCTTCATCCTTCAATGGATAGACTATTGAATTGTTCATTTGAATCTTCTATAGGGACAGACTTTGCAACTTGTGGTCATCTGAATGCTGTTGAACTAATTGGATAGGATTTTATATTCTGCCTGGCTCAGCCAAGGGAGGTATATTGTGAAATATTACAGGATAATATCTCACAGGATTCAAAGTCTATGTAACCTCAGGTTCAAGTATAAGATTCAAAAAATGAACAGAATAAGATGACTACTCAACTGCAATATTACATAGCTAATGCACAATTGTATGTATACAGCGCTATTCTCCTTATTAAAAAGGTTCAGTGCCTGTGCACCAGATTCCCTCCAATAAAGGGGCTATGTGTGGGGTAATGCATGAGTTTACTCAGATACAGTATTTCTGGTATTATATCTTGTGGTTTGGAATATATTCTAACTTTATTTTGATAACACAAGATATTCAGTTATAGTAAACAATATGCCAATCCACAGCAACAAATACAGTAATGCTTATGGTTATATCATTATATAGTTGTGCAGATATTAGTAGACAGGAACTGTGTTTGTTTATATGTCTGCTATACCCAGGATGCTGAACAATGAATACTAGTTATTTGAATCACCAGCACCTCTAAAAGTGAAGCGTCTCAAATTGTTTTACAAGATATTACTGCCAAGTGTTGTCACTTGCTTTGTGGGCAAACTTGGCAACCATTCGCCTCATGGCTATTTTCCCATAAACAGCAATGAGATAAATGACCAATTGATTTGGTTGATTGTTGGCCATGACACTGGGAGAAACTTCTTTTTCTTTTCATCTTCCTGAATAAAGAAATAGGACCTCAGCGCTGAAATGGAGTAACAGCCGAGCTCAAGATCACAGACTTCAGACTCAAGACTGCTACCAGCTGAGATGACACACCAGCACAATTAAAACAATGCCTTAAAAACAATAAGATGATTCTAAGGGGGAGTGAGATTAATGTGGGATTAAAGAGGCCATTTGGCCCATGCTCTTTCAAAGAGTCGGCACAGACACGATGGGTCGAATGGCTTCTTTCTGTGCTGTATAATTCTATGATTTTATAATATGCTACATGTGTAAAAGTTGCCCACATTCATGCACAGGAATCCCACGTGTCAAACAATATTGGATTTGAGTAAACAGTTCACTTTTATTGGTGTGCTTTGCACCTAGTAGCTGTGAGCTACACAGTTAGAAATATACGATTGCAAACAAATATTTAGAAAATTGATCAGAACATTCATAAGATTTGGAATCACATTTGTTTAAAAAAAGATAGAAATACTGTGTTACCATTTTCTTCTTGCCCACTAGCCTCTGGCGTGCCGAGCCTATGCTGCTCCTCTGGTGCTTCTGGATAAATGACAGCTGTGCCTCCTTGTTGAAGGTATTCTTGAACATTTGGATCATGGCTTTGCTCTTCATCTCCATCAGAATCACAGCCCTCTTCATTAGCTATTAAAAAATAATGCATCACATAATGAACTGTACAAATTAAAAACTTAAAAAAAACTTCATGGTCTTTATTTAAGGCCTGATCGGTCAGTTTCTTCCTAAATTATCGATTCTTTACAATATGACATTTTGGGAGCTATTGTCTCTTAATCACCTTAACTTATATCATATATACTCAACAGGCCTGCAACTGGTTATTCTCCTGCATGTTCTTTCTATACTTACATCCTGAATGAAGTCAATGCATATGAAACTGATATGATTGAGTCCATTATAGAGACTACCTGGATTGAGTTTGTTGTAGCTAACTCTATATATAGAGTCAAATCAAGGAATGAAGAATAAAGGTTGATTATAGGCACAAGCAGCAAGTTCCTGAAACTTGACTTCTGCAAAATCTTAACATCTTCACAACCAGTAAGATTCAGTTCACCTTTGTATGTTGAAAAAATGTTTTGAGGCAACTGTGTCCCATTTAAATCCTAATGTTGTCTGATTAGCAGAACATACTTTATTAAGTCACAGTTCTGCAAATTTTGATCATATCCCCAATCCAGTTCCTCCTTATCTGAAAGTGCATCTCTTTAAAACATTATGCGTGGAGCAAGGAAGCGTGATCTGCATCAGATAGTCTTTGTTAGGGGAGTTAGGTCAAAATAGCGGGGAGATATAAACGCAAGATATCTAGGGTCTGTGACCTCTCCTATTCCTTGATGACTGATTTTTTTTGTCAGCCGGGTGTCTGATACAAGTTGAAACCCATTACCATGCTTAAGAATATCCAAACCAAACTGAGATTTCCATACATCCCACCCACACATAGAAATCCCAGAGATAGACTGTTGGAATGGAATGCGTACTCTCTACTTGGAGGGATGCATCCTGCTTACCTAATTCCAGAAAGTATAACAACAACAACAAAATTACATTTATAGAGCGCCTTTCACGTCGGGAGGATGTCCCAAAGCGCTGAACAACCAGGTGTCGGGGCCCGAGCATGAGGGAGGGTGTTGTAGGGGTGAGGGAAGGCAGAGAGGTGGGAGGGCGACCAAAGGCACGAATGAAAAGAAGAGTCTTGAGACCGGCCTTGAAGGAGGCAAGGGAGGAAGCAAGCCGAAGGGACCGTGGGGATGGAGTTCCAGAGTGTGGGGGCAGAGAGGCTGAAAGCCCGGCCGCCGATGGTAGGCCGTGTCGGGTGGGAGACATGGAGCAGACTGGAGCCCGCTGAATGGAGAGCGCGGGCAGGTTGGTAGGGAATCAGCAGGTCAGAGAGATAGGAGGGGGCAAGGCCATGGCCTTGAAAGGGAGGATGAGGATCTTGAACTCGATCCTCTCGGGGATGGGGAGCCAATGGAGTCGGACGAGAGTGGGAGTGATGCGGTCACGGAGCCTGATGCGTGACAGTACACAAGCTGCAGAGTTTTGGATGATCTGCAGTTTGTGAAGGGAAGAGTTGGGAAGGCCGATGAAGAGGAAGTTTCCGTAATCGAGCCTTGATGTGACAAATGCGTTGGTGAGGGTTTTGGCAGCCTGAGGGGTGAGGCAGTGGCCGGTCACGGCGTGGATGTGGGGGAGAAAGGACAGTTCAGGGTCGAACATGACACCCAGGTTCCTGACTGGCTTAGTGAGGCTGAGTGTGCAGCCGTGGAGGCTGATGCTGCCAGTGTCCGAGGTGCGGAGGCACTGGCACGAGCCAATCAGGAGGGCCTCGGTCTTGCTGACGTTGAGTTGGAGAAAGTTGTCCCTCGTCCAGGACTTGATGTCGGACAGGCAGTCGGTCAGGACGCCAGTAGTCCTGGAGTTCAGGGTGGAGGCAGAGAGATAGAGTTGGGTGTCATCCGCATACATGTGGAAATTTGCCCCATGTCTGCGGATGATGTCCAAGGCTGCACTCTCCATCTCTCAAAGCCAGTCAGGAACCTCAGCGTTCTGTTCGACCCTGAGCTGTCTTTTCTTCCTCATATCCGCGCCACAACTGGCGCCGCCTTCCATCACCTCTGAAACATCGCCAGACTACGGCACTACCTCACCCCTCACGCTGCTGAAACACTGGTCCACGCCTTTATCACCTCAAGGTTGGACTATGGAAACTCTCTCCTCGCCGGCCTTCCCGACACCTCCCTCCACAAGCTGCAGGTCATTCAGAACTCTGCAGCTCGTGTACTGTCCCGCACCAGGCTTCGGGACCACATCACTCCCACCCTCGTTCGCCTCCACTGGCTCCTCATCCCCCAGAGGATCGAATTCAAGATCCTCATCCTCACCTACAAGGCCATTCACGGCCTTGCTCCCTTCTACCTCTCCGACCTACTATCCCCCTAACTTACCAGCCCGTACCCTCCGTTCCTCTGGCTCCGGTCTGCTCCACATCCCCCGCCCCAACCGCCCTACCATCGGTGGCCGGGCCTTCAGCCTCTCAGCCCCTAGGCTCTGGAACTCCATCCCCCAGTGCCTTCGCCTTGCCTCCTCCCTTTCCTCCTTCAAGGCCGGTCTCAAGACCTTTCTCTTTGACCATTCGTTCAGCTCCCCTCTCGACCCCCTCCTCGTTCCCTCCCCTCACCCTGACCATTTCCCCCCTGCTCGGGTTCTGACCCAACTATCCAGCGCCTTGGGACGTTCTCCCGATGTGAAAGGCGCTCTATAAATGGAATCTTGTTGTTGTTGTCACCAAGGGTGATGAGGAGAGGACCGAGGACAGAGCCCTGAGGAACACCACACGAGACGGTGCGGGGCCTGGAGAAAAAGCCGTTTGCTGCGACGAAGTGGAGGCATTGTGAAAGGTAGGACCTGAACCAGTCAACTACAGAACCTTGAAGGTTGAGGTGGGAGGTGGTGGAGGAGGTTTGAGTGGTCCACGGTGTCAAAGGCAGAGGAGAAGTCGAGGAGGATGAGGAGACAGAGGGAGACCTGGTCGCACATGGTAGTAAGTAGTATTCGGGGGGAGTGCGTGGTGAGAGAAGGGGAGGGAGATAGTGTGTGTGTGTGCGTGTGTGAGACAGATGGAGCGAGAGAGGGGGGGGAGAGAGAGTGCATGTGTGGGAGAGAGTGTCAGAGATGTGGAAGTGTGTGTGAGAGGGGGAAAATTATTGACTGAAAGGAGGGAGAGAAAGTGATAGTGACAGAGTGGGAGGAAGAGAAAGAAACAGAGCGTGAGAGGGGAGTGTGTGAGAGGGGGGAAAAGAGTGTATGTGTGGGAGAGAATTTTTTTTTGGTCAGCCAGGTGTCTGACACATGCAGAAACCCATCACCAAACCAAGCTTAGATTTCCATGCATCCCACCTACACGTGGAAATTCCAGAGATAGATTTTCGGAATGGAGGGATGCATCCTGCTTACCTAATTCTAAACCCACGTTGCTTGCCATTGATATTGCTGTTGGCAAGCTTTCCTGCTGTTTGTCCAGCTGAGACCACCCTACCTGTTAGGACTTTGGCTTTTAGGGTTAACAGGAGCTGAGTGGAATGGCTCCCTGTTCCCAGTGACTGGTCTGCCGATTAACCAGGTTGGCTGTGCTGTCATCAGCAGTGCCCTGGAAAACTGCGGACCTGCCTGGCTCAGGAACTGGACTACCGAGGGCTGGCTCGAATCCGACATTCTGTTGCCAGGCATGTCACTTTGGAGCTAATTCTCTTACCTCTTCCAAGGAGGATTCACAGACCAGTGGAAGATCACATGGGTGATCTTGCAAATTACACCAAGTTGTGGGAACTGTAGAATCAGTAGAGGCAGCAAAAGTCCTATAAAGACAGACTGATAGGATATGTACATGGACTGATAACGGGCAAATAAAGGCAAATACAAGGTACTACATAAAGGATCGAAGAAATAAAAAACCTAAGTACTATATTGATGCAGCAAACTTGCTAAGGGGAAGCTAAAAAGATATCTAAGGGTTTTAGTTGACTCATTGCTCATTATGTCAACACAGGATGAAGACGCAATAAACAAAGCAAACAGGATGTTGGGCTACATTGCTAAATCAGTATAGATTAAGTTCCCAGACGTCATACTCGAGCTGTATGTTGTTCTGGTCAGGCTTCACCTAGAGTATAGCCTCAGTTGTGGTCATTGTGCTATAGGGGGCTGCCCAGAACCTAGAGGCAGTGCAAAAGACAGCAATGTGGATGATCCATAATGTTAAAAAAATGAGATATCTACAACAAATAGACAGGCTAAGGCTCTTCAGTCTGAGGCAGTAGAACAAGACGACATAGGTTTAGAGTTGCAAAGAGCAATTTCAAGACAGACTCCAGAAAGTTTTTCTTTACCGAGAGGGTAATTAATGACTGGAACAGGTTATGAGGAAGGGTGGTTGAGCCCAGGACACTGGACGTTTAAAGCTTGATGCTGTAAGGACGGTAGGATGGATATTCTAAAGAGATGAGATCAGATGGGCCAAAGGGCCTCTTCCTCTAAACCAATCTAGTAATCTTGTGAAAAATCACAAAATAATTTTCTTTCGTCCAAGTGTTACAGAGTAAGGATAATACAGTAACTGATGGGAATAATTCACCTCATTTGCAAATGCAATTTACAAAGTAACAGGCATGCACAATTTTATACACAAAAAAACTATGACAAACCATAAGAATTCATAACATCCTATCTCAGGGCCCTATCCTCAAAGTGTGGAAATGGTAAATGCAATCACAAGTACATAGTTGTTTATCCATTTTCATACAAAATATTTTAAAAGATTCACTATAAGACCAAATTAAGGAGAAGGCCACATAATAGTGGACAATAAGACCTTAATGTCTCAATATAAATGATCTATCCAATTTCCCTCTATTATGATGGAGTTTCAAAGTATCTAGTAAATGAAGTACATTCATACATCTGAAAATAATCACAGATGGAAGTGTCGAAAAGCATTACAGTTAACAATGCAGTAATTTTTGATAGACAGTAATGGATACAAGTTCACCCATGTGATTATCTAAAAAATTCCCCATCTTACAAGGTTACTGGATACAGTTAAGAGCAACAACATATTGCATTCGTATAGAGCTTACATAAGACGCTATACCAAATGCAAGGATTATTATTGCTATTATATCAGCTAACTCTCTCCAAGAACCAATGTATAAAATCCACATAAAGCCATCAGGAAAGGAACAAACAAAAGACCAAGAAATGTTAAATTAGTGACAAAAATAACAGTATCAAAAGAAAGTCTTCTCCCACCAATATCAATGTTCTAGTTTAACAAGCATTATTAGTTCCATAGAATCAGTCTATTTATCAATGCAATTTCCATTAGCAGCAAGTAGAAGTATTTTTTTAGAAAAGAGCTTTTTTGAAATGTGCACAAAATGGTCTTTCAAAAGATATAGAGCACAACATACAAAGAATCGTGCCTATTCTCACAAGTCTAAATCCAATTTACTATTCTACAATCCCAAAGGGCAGTCTCCATCAGTTACAATATAAATAAGAGCATAGTTAATGCCAGCATTATTTTATAAATTAAAGCAGCTAGCTAATAAGCCACCTCAATTTAACATGCAAAAACATCAGTACAAATTCACACCCAGTTTATGTGTAAATAGCCCTGTCACGAGCACTAGGAACATATTAGCTTGTGAGTAGCTTCATGAATAAATTTACAAAATTCCTGGACCACAGAATTAACACAAAATTCTCACAAATTTTGTAATATTTTAACTTGTCATTATAAGCTTCCACTGTATAGCTATCTTTGTTTTTTAGTTTTTCCTGTTTTATTTATAGATTTATAAATCTCAATGCTTATTAAAATCCTAAAGTAGTTTGGGAATAGTGTTTGATAAATGGGACGTGATGGAGCCTGCCGATAGTTTTGTGGTATATTACAATGCATTGCCTTTTAAAACACTTATCTCAGCGGGGTAAATGTTGCTATAGATACAGTTCCAAGAATACACATTTTCAATTATGTGAAGTACAACAGTGTTGGGTACAAACACTGTGTGCATTCCCTCTCTTCTCTCCCAATCAGAAAAAACAGCTATCACTAATATTACAGAAAATGATGAGACTTTTGAGATGACCTATTATAAGTTTTGACGATTATGAAAGACACTGACGAAGTTAAAGTTGCTTATGGCATATTGCAAGATTAGCAAATACCAAACAAGACAACACAAAGGCAGAGGATTTACCCAGAGAGATTCGAGTATTTGACATTTCAAAGAGAACTGCAATGATCAAACCAACGTTTCAGGTCGATTACCTTTTGACTGTTGTCTTGCCCCATCAACACCTCTGATCTCATCATCTACTGTCCTACACCTAAATTATTTATTGTGCATGAGTAGCCATTTTAGTGTAAAAGCCAATCAACGTACAGGAAGCAAGTTAGCTGACTGGAAGCATGTGGAGTAAATAGGGTCTACAACAACAACAAAATTACATTTGTATAATGCCTTTCACGTCGGGAGGATATCCCAAGGCGCTGAACAGACAGAGTTACGGAACTGAGCTGAGGGTTGGAGTGGGGGAGAGGGGAGGGCAGGGGGGAGGCAGGGAGATCGAAAGCAAAGGGTCGAAGAGGAGGGTCTTGAGGGGTTTTGGAGGGGGCAAGACAAAGGAACTGCGGGATTGAGTTCCAGAGGGTGGGGGCAGAGTGGCGGAAGGCCCGCCTGCCGATAGTGGGGCGAGCAAGGCGGGGGACGTGAAGCAGGCTGAGTGGAGGGAGTAAACAGGGTGGTAGGGGGTTAGGAGGTCGGAGAGGCAGGGAGGAGCAAGACCGTCAAGTCTACACACAAATCTTCTTACAACCAAATTCAACAACAATAAATCACATTTATACGTTTGCCTTTCATATCAGAAATAGATCCCAATGTGCTGGACAATCAAGGGTTTGGCCCAAGTTGGGGGCTGGATACGGGATGGGTGGGGACCAATGAGGTAGAGGGTGAGGTGAGAAGATGACTAAAGCCATGGTCAAAGAGGAAGGTCTTGAGATGGACCTTCAAGCAGGCTAGGGAAGGGGCAAGGAAAAAGGATTCAGGGATGGAGTTCCAGAGAGTGTGGGCAAAAAGGCTAAACCCATGACCACCAACAGTGGGCCGGGCAGGAGAGGGAACGTGAAGCAGGTCAATGTCTGTAGAGTGGAGGGAAATGTCACGTTGGTAGGATTTGGGGTCAGAAAGGTATTTGCTATAAACAAGCACATTATAGCCATGCTACACTGGAATACTGTAAGTATTAAAGCAGTCCAATTCAATAAACTCTGAAAGAGTTTGTTGACATTGAGCATGCTATTCGGATCCACAAAAAACATTTTTGGATGTAACAGAAGGTGGTAATTCATTTTAGAAACTAGGTGACTATCAAATACAATAAGTTGTAAGGTACAGAATTATGACAATTGATGGCAAGTGGCAAAACGGATTTTTAAAAAATCCACATTTCATTACAGAAAGTCCCTAAAGTAGATTATTTGAGAAATGGAACTCGTGTTTTTCTGAAATAGAGGCCAGTTGATGGTGAGCAGAAAGATGGCACATGTCCGGGATTAGATTCCAACAGAAGCCATTATTTTTATTTGACATGAGCAATGAGAAATGATTGCAATTTGGATACTTTTTTCCCTTCCTGCTCTTTTTTTTGAATTCCCAGCATTGTCTTCTAATTTCAAGATAGATAATAATCTGTATTATACAAGAATTTGAGAAGATCTGTGTGCTATGTTATTTGGTCTGTATGGTGAAACCTTTAGTCTATACCTGTGCAACCAGTCTTGCGTGTCTTAGCTTCAGGCCCCAGGTTGTCTACATTTTCCTTCGTTCCTAAAGAAAAACACAAATCATAAAATTAGCAGTCTAATAAAATCCACATCATAAACTATAACACCAATTCCATTCCTTCTTCTCATGTGCAAACAAGATTAAGCACATTGACTCCCAACAGATCCCTTTTTGCCATGCTTTTTAAAATGTAAAGTCATGTGGACTTTTGTATACCCAATCCGAAAACTTCAATTGGTCTTCAATTGTGAATGTTTGTATGGAAATAAGAGAAATTCAAATTTACTATCATAAGCCTCTAAACAGCATTAGTGAGATCTTAAAAGTGGGTTGTTAATCAAACCAGACCTTAGGTGAGAAAGGAAGGACAGCAGAATGGCTCAGACCCTCACACAAATAAACAGTTACTTTGGACACCTGTACTATATATCAGTTAAGGAAGGAAGTGAGCAAATTTTATTCCAAATACCAGAACAGCTTGAAAAGCTGGCACACACGCCATCTCCCACGCATGACCTATCATAAGAAAAATAACTTGCACAAGTTAGTTCAGATGTCTGCAAACTTAAGGTTATGAAACACATCATTTTATTGGGTTCAACTGTGGGAAGTTTTGCAAACACAACTCTGTATATTTGTATTGCAACAATTTTGTTTACTTTCGTTGCCTTCAGTTAATGTCACATATTTTAACTGCAGTTTGAAAAATGCAAATGCCACAGCTCTAATTATGAATTGAAAAGTATGTATCATGCTTAATCTTTTAGCTTCATCCTACTTTGATGTAAAATTGAGTTTGGTGCAGTGACCATGACAGATAAAGGCGATTACTAATTATTTACCATGTACAAATACTGAAGTGAAAGGTTACAGAGGTACGCAGCTACAGTAGTTTGTAATCCCCATAACAGTAGATTGTGATGCAAATGACATAAGACGGAAACCCACTTCCTGTGATGAAGGGCCACCTGAAACATTTCACTCCAAGCTACTTCCCTTCTTAAAATGTCTAAGGTGAAAACATGGTAGCTAGTACCTTGTGTTCAAGCCAAAGAATGTTTGAATTTCCTACTATTTACCATTTAATCTTTTATGACAGGAGCTACCCCCAACCTCTTTCAAGCTCTGAAACAACTCTATTGTTAGATGGGCTCAGATGACCACTTTGTGGCACATAAAAAATGAAGCAGATGAGACAGTAAATTAATGATTTACAAGAGGTCTGGATCAAGATAGCCCTTCAGTTAATTTCATCTCATCCTTTTTGAGCAGAACACAAATTTAGCAATCTTTCCTATTGGGCTTCATAAGGAAATTAAACAAATCCCTTTATTCCACTGGATTACACAAGCACAAAATTCATAAGATAACAAGAGAGGTAGAGATGAAGAAACCCTACCATTATCATCTTACTATTTTACCAACAAATGCACAAAAAGATCAAAGTACACATGTATACATTGTGCGAGTATTGACATCAAATGCCCAACAGCAGTGGTTATTACTAATGTTTTATTGACCAATCAAAAATGTAATTTCGCCATATCTGGATTCCCAATTCACAACACGGGCTGGTGGATAACTTATTTGACAACCCTGCATTATAGCATCAAGCTGCTTTTTAAAATGGCTTTAACTCATCATCCCCTATCCTCCAGCCCATTTTCTCCTTTGTCTTTCTTGCCCAGCCTCTCTTCTCCGTTAGTCTTTAAAACCTCTCCCTCTCAAAATACCCGAGTTCTAATGAAGGGTCATGGACCCAAAGTGTTGACCCACTTTCCTTTCTCCATAGATGCTGCCTGACCTGCTGAGTGTTCCCAGCAATCTCTGTTTTGCTACTTTTTAAATGGGTCCAGTGTCCTGGTCTCAGGAGGCATGTGAAACTAACAATGAGTAGATGGAGATACGGAGCTGAGGGAGGATGAGGTGATGATTGAGCCTAGTGTAGAAGATGTAGGCTGCAGGGGTTTGGATGATCTGGAGATTGTGGAGGCTGGTGAGTAGGGTATTGGAAAAATTGAGTGTGGACATGTATACGAGGGTTTCAGCTGCATTAGGGTGAGGTAGTGCAGAGGCGGGCGATATTGAAAAGAAGAGACAGAGAGAGAAAGAAAGATTAACTATATATTTGATTATAATTATATTTGATACTACAGGAGTTATTCCGAATATACATTGTGCTTGCAAATTGACTTTAAATTGACATTCATCACAGGAATTATAAATATCTTTAAAAATAAATGCAAAGGATGTTGTCCCCCACCCCTTCCCCCATGGTAAAATAGGCATTCTATCTCCACTCAACCTTCTGACAACTATTTCAGAATAAAAATACAAAGTATAATTAAATGTTGCTGTTCCAAGTGCTTTTCTAATCCTCGCTAGTAATTTTCTAACCATTAGTACATGCTAAAACTGAAGAGTTTCTTAAAGCATAGCGGTAGCAAATCTTTTTTTGTGCCAGTGCAGTTGAAACACTACTGTGAAAAAGTCACGAATGCCTTTTGTGCCTCCCACAAAGTTTCCACATGAGTCATTAAAAGCAGAAAACTTTTTTCTGGTTGGTGTGTGACCCAACTCATGACAGGTAACTACAAAAATTATTCAACCCGTGTTAGAGGAATAAATATAGAAATCTATTTTGAGAAGCACAGTATGGAAGGACATAAAACTTAGTGCAATCCTTTAATCGCTTTGCAAAAATGTACCAGATGCAAATTTAACTCAGTAGAAAACCAATGAAAGCTCTGTTTGTATGCTAAACAAAGCTCTTGTCCTTTCACTGGACACAACACAGACCAAAGCTGTGCAATCCAGTGGAATGGATGAGCTGGCTTCCTGCATGGACATTTCACAAAGAGATATGACTAGGCAGTTAGCCATAAGACTGTGACCAGTGCAGAACACATGCTTATTCTTAAACAACGCCAGAGCAGTTGTAGTTGCAGCTTCACATTCTGCATTGATTCAAAACTTCCACACAGAATACTAGAGGCCTAAACTAGATTCATAACCTCTTTAGTTTATGACCGTCCCCTCCTTACTAGACAGTGAAATCATACCTAGAATTTTGTCCTCTGTATACTGACGTCTAAAATGGATTTAGCCAACATCTGCAGAAGCAGAGTTACTGGCGAATTATTCTTTTCATTTCCCTATTAAAGGGGCTGTTTGGAGAGGAGGGGGAAGAGATGATATACAGGATCTACTTGGGACTGAGTTGGCTCCAAGGTGACATACCTGACAATGGAATATTGGAATTGAGTCAATCCTGAGTGAATCTGATCAGTAGATCAGTTCCTGAGCCAGGCATGTCTGCAGTACTCTAAGGTATTGCGGATAACAGACCAGCCAGTCTAGCTTGTCGGCAGGACTAAGAGAGATAGACCAGTCACTGGGGGCAGGGAGTTTTCCCATTTGGCTCCTGTTAATCCTACAAGATAAAGCCCTAACAGTGGGTGGTCCTGCCTGGACAAGAAGTGGGAAACTTGCCAGATAGTGCTCACAATTATTTTTAATCTGGTTTTAGCTAGTTAAAATTCCAGCAGTATCCCCAATGCACTAAATCTAATACTCGGCTCTAATGCCCCAAACATTTTCCAGAATTAAAAAAGTGTGTCTTCCTGGAAAGAGTTCCCACTCCATTCTAAGGCAAATGGGAAATTTCTATGCAGAGGTGGCAAGCATATGTGGAACTCAGTCTGGTTTTAATGCTCTTAAGCATGATGATGAGTGTCCGCATGTGGCTCACTAAAACACAAGGGCCTATTGGAGACTAAATTTCATTGATTCAGAAACTACTCTGGAAAAGTAACATGATGGAAGAGGGAGAAAAACATATGTTATAAAACCGTCACACATTGAAAAGTGTCAAAGTGCTTCACAAGCAATTAATGTCAAATGTAGTAATAGATTTTTTTGTAGGCAAATACAGCAGCCATTTTCGTACCAACAAGGTCCCACAAATAACATGAGGTGAATAACCAATTAGTATGGAGGATTCTTGATAAAAAAAGCTGAAACTCCATACCTTTTTTAAAATTGATTCATGAGATCATTAATGACCACTTGAACAGGCTCTCAGCTCTAACTTCTCATCTGAAAGAGGGCAACTCAGGCAACGCAGCATTTCCTCAGTACAGCACTGAAGTGTCAGCCTACATACACTATGAGCTCAAGTCCAGATATGGATCTTGAACTCAGAACTAATCGACTTGGAGGCAGGTATGTTACCAAATGAGCCAAGTGAAGCATGAAAATCAATTCATAATTCCATTCCTACTCCAAGGTATGAGACAATTCAATGAATTTCAAAAATATTCAAAAGCAACAGTAAACTCATTGAACAATAAGTTTCTGAAAGGAAATTACTTGTTTACACTCCTTGTGACTTACAAAAAAATTGTTAGTACTTCACTGGTGATGTACTGTTTTATTTACAAGGGCTGGAACTCTCTCTTCCCTTCTCTCTCCCTGAGGACAGACAAAGCAAACTTCAAAGAGAATAGAAATTTAAAAAATTAGACTTGAAAAGGTACAAGCCCTATCGCACATTCATGTATTTGGAGATATTTATTATGCTATTAAAATTTTTGTAATGGTGTAATCAAACATATTTGTATTACCTCTAAATATTTCAACTACTTTAAGAACACTATTCATAAATCAACCCACTCTAACCATACTGATTATGGGGGTGGGTGGGGGAGTAAATCATTCAGTAACAAATAAATTCATAGTTTTACCTGAATTGGGGATCACTTTTACATTGGCCTCAGCCTCTGTTTTTACCCAAAATTCTATAGTGCCACAACAGGAAAATGCCACTGTCTGAAGAAGCCAGGCTTTTTTTAAAAAATATTTAAATTTGACCACCTTAATTTAGGTTATTCCCCGATTATTCACAAAAACACTTCCGGTAGTCACCTGAACCAGTTTGTATAATTTGTTTCAATGGTCTTCCCTGGTAATTTAGACTTTCCATGAAATAGTTCTACCTATATTTCTAATTTATTTAACATTTTGAAACGTTCTCAACTTTTTAATAAAAGTCCTTGTATTTGATATAGCGCTTTTCACGTCTTCGAGACGTCTCAAAGCGCTTAACAGAACATACTGTAGTGAATTGTAGTGAATGCCAAGTGAATTGACTGTATATTTGTGAGCGAATATTTTTTAAATAGTGGGAACAATTATATTCTTCATAATGTTTGAAGAAATCCGTCAGGTTAAAGTCTGCTTTCTCCCAGTGAGAACCTTCTTCCTTCAATCTTCTCAGATCTGGAGTTAGCTTAGTTGCTCTGAACCTAGTCAAGGGCAATTATACGCTTTCCATGGTATCATATCAGTGTCGTTCATACACAAACAGTTACTCCACTTTACAGCATATTCTTTGAAGTACTTTCAGACGTCCTCCCACTGTGACACTATATGAAATTTAAGGATTATATATATTAATTATTTAAGGATTATTAGCATTGTACACAAGTCCTGTAGCTCAGTGGTTAGAGCACTCGCTTTGCAAGTGAGAGACCTGAGTTCATTTCCAGGCAGAGGGTGAAACCTTGGGCAAGTTTCCTTACTCCACACAGAGCCTAATAATAATCCTCCAAAAAAACAAAACAATAATAAATTGGTCATTTTCAATCTACGACTGTTTGTGGGACATTGCTGTGCGCAATTGGCTGCCGCGTTCGCCCACAAATATACAGTCAATTCACTTTACAGTGTGTTCTGTGAAGCGCTTTGGGACGTCCTCCCGACGTGAAAAGCGCTATATCAAATGCAAGGATTATTATTATTATATACTCCCAAATCTGATCTTTTCGTCCTATGTTAATTATCTTACATTTGATAAGATTACTCTCTTAGTCTCTTACTAACCTAATTTTCAAAAAGATTTGAATTTCTTCAGAATCTGGTTTCATTGCACTCATTATTTGCATTCAGCAAATGTAAACTTGTAGATCTTGATTTTGCTAAGAGTATATTATTAACTGAAGATGTGGTAAGGCGCTATATCAAATACAAGGATTATTAAGAGATATTTACAGATACATACAAAGGGCTGTTTAAGTTTACCCTTTCTGGACTTGGACCTCAAGAACATCAATGTGGGTGGCACATCACAAGCCGTCCTGTAAAGGTCCTCCAACCACCCTGAAAAAGGATGTTCGCCAGATAGCTGATGAGGAAATGCTGAGGCTTGGGGCGACCCCTGCTGAAAGGGGTTACCTGGAGTCCTGAGTTCAGGGTTACATCCCTATACTATGTTGTGTCAGATTGGCTCAGCGGTAGCACTCTTGCCTTTGAGATTGTGGGTTCAAATCCCACCTCAAGACTTGGAATTACATAGGCCAAGCTGACACTCCAAAGCGATGCTGAGGTTGTGCTGCACTGTCGGAGGTGCCATCCTTCGAATGAGATCTTAAACCAAGGTTCCGTCTGCCTATTCAGGTGGCTGTTAAAGATGTCATGGCACTACTTGAAAAGAGAAGGAAGTTTCTCCCGGTGTTCTGGCCAACAATATCCCAAATAAAATTGGTCACTCATTCCATTGCTGTTTGTGGGACATTGCTGTATGCAACTGGTTGCTGCATTTCGTCCACGAAATACACATTCAAAAAACACTTTACAATATATTCCCTGATCCACTTTGAGATGTCTCAACGACGTTAAGGTGTTACATCAAATGCAAGTATTATTATTAAACTTCCTCACTCAGTGTGATCCTGTCCTTGTGAATTACTCAGAGACGTAATCCTACATGAAGAGAGAGAGCCAGTTGTTGTTGTTGCTTTACAATAACCTAATCCTTGTCAGATGAAAACACATGACTAAATTTTTGCAATTGATTTTCTATCAACATTTGAATATAGAGAGCTGAGATGGATAATTATGGATATCTGTCTTAAACAACAATAAATCTTGTATCCAACTTTGGTCATGATTTTGTGCACAGCAAATTATCCAGCTAAACAAAACACAAAATACTGGAAATCTGAAAACAAAAACAGAAGTCGCTGGGAACACTCAGCAGGCCAGGCGGCACCTATGGAGAAAGGAAAGCGAGTCAACGTTTTGGTTCCATGACCCTTCGGCAGAATGTTCGTCAGTGAGGAAGCTGAGTGTTCCCAGTGACTTCTGTTTTTGTTTTCAAATTATCCAGCTAGATCATCTTGATATTATATTTTCTATCATGGCTTCACTTTAGCAATCCATTGGCAATTAATACTTCTTCAGTAGGAGACTTATCCACATGATATTGTTTTTGGTAAGATGGATGTTTGAAGCGCACAGAAACCCATCACCATGTTTAAGATTAACCAAATCAGAGTTCTATATTTTGTATTGCCATCTACTCATGAAAATTACCCTTTGTCTACAATAGAGGACAGACTCTCTTCCTGGGGGGACACATCCTACTTATCTATTTCCAGGAAGAATTGGGGTCATGTTAGCAAAAGCTAAGGTTTGCAAACGTCAGAATGTGTGTGGGGATACTCCTGGAGTTTAATCAGCTAAAACCGCGTAGCTTACCAGATTGCAAACAGTGTGTAACAAGCTTCCTGCTGCCTGTTTCAGCTGGGACCACTCTACCCGCTCGGACCTTGGATTACAGGAGACCAGTGAGATGAATCCCTAGTCCCCTGCTTCATAAAGGGTGAACTCATAAGCAAAATGAATACTTTTAGTGACATATTAAAAATGGCAATGTGTGGGACTCAGCACACATTTTGTAATAAAATATTAAGCAATTCTGGAAAAAAAATGATTCTAACCTAAAGCTAATTGGATTGCTTGAGATGGGCACTTTTCATACTTGACGATCATTTCACATGATTTCAGAGCTCTTCAAGCTCTGCCTTATCAACAGCACAAGGAATAAGGCCATCCTCAAGGAAACAGTGGAGATGGCACAATATTAGAAACAGAACTGATCTTCCACAAGTGCTCTGAATCTGAAAATTATTCAGTTTGGGGCAAATTTTGCAATTTGTTTTTGGGGATTTGTTTTTTTAATCATGGATTCTTATGAAAATATGCTTTTCTTTGTTTGGTCATTATTTCATCCACCAAAACGTTTCTGCATTTACGCATAGACTTTCCTCCTTCTCCATCTACACATACTCAGGTAACACTGACATCAGTGGCATATTGTTTCTTCATATAATCAAATCTACCCTACCCACACTGCTCCCACTGAGCAAGACATACACAATAAAAGAATGAAATGACATAAACTCGATAGAAAATAAAAGCTGATAAACTTATGTAAAAAAAATTAAAAAAACTTCTGAAAAACTGTCAACAAATAATAATAGTCCTTGCATTTGATATAGCACCTTATCATGTTTCAAAGCGCTTCACAGAATACATTATAAAGTGGATTGACTTTGTATTTTGTGGGCAAGAAGCGACAGCCAATTGCGCACAGTAGTATCCCACAAACAGTCGCGGATTGAGTAACCAAATTTTTTTTTGAATGCATTATTACCCCTGGAACAACTGGGTTTCTATTTATTGCTAGGTAAACAGAGGCGTTTGGAGTAAGGAAACTTGCCCAACATTTCTCCCTGCCTGGGAATCAAACCCCCGGTCCTCACGCAACAGTTGCAGAAATACATTTTTAAAAAGTCGTCATAAAATAAGTACACTCAAAAATCAAATATTTTAACTTGAAAAATAAATGCCAAGATTGCTGAAAGCTCATTTTGTCTTGTAGAATGTGCAACAAAAACAAAAAAACATTTGGTCTATCAGACATGCAAATTGACCTGTGCTAGATCAACAGAAAATATTATCCAAACTTGAACCAATACTTAAAAACAAATCTTTCCTGAACACTTCGTTCTCCTTCTATACTGGCCGAACATATGGTGAAAGTTAAGTTCGTGTTAATTTAAGAATAAGTGGTAAAAGAACAGATGCCTCAAAAAAGATTGGTGATTGCAAATATTTTGGTGAAATTAAACCAAAATAATAGCAACATTTGCTATTTAGAGCATCTTCTGTTTAGTGGATCTTTAATTCTTATACATATTCTCATTCTGTCTATGTCGGTGGGACATAGCTTTACCCAAATTGGCTGCCATGTTTGCCTTCAAATTACAGTTAAATTTATTATAATTGTATTCAAAACTTTACCAGCATTAGCAAGTAGTGCATTGACTATATCCAGTGACTATTATTAGCAGAAGGGGCACATTAGACCTTATTGTCTAGATTAGAAGGTGCATCTGTTAAGGCCTAAAACATAAGCAGTAAGAACACAAAGTACTTAATGTTGTTAGGGACTGAAAGATCTATCGATATGCATGCCGAAATTTATGTTGATGTCAACATACACGGTACGTTTAACATGTTTTTATACAGGGAAGGGTCAGGGGCTTCACATTTTTGTTGACATACGTGGGATTTCAATGTAAACGGGTTCAAGATACATTCTTCAACTCAGTGTTTAGTTTGGTTTTCTGCAGTTCTTAAAAAATCCGAACTTCTAAATTAAAATTGAATTGGAGAATTTTGCAGTTTTACGTGATCCTAAATTTTAAGACAGAACAATGTTACAGACTAAGACTCTAGGTTTTCAGGTCACTAGAAGGATGCCAGCACTTAGGAAAATCAACCTGAAGTAAAATGTGGATAAGGGTTACAGGGCTACAACATTTTAGACCAGTTACCTCTTTCGGTTCAAAAAGACTGCTGAACATATGTATTATTTAAAGAGAGGTAACTAAAATGACAAGTACTGCCATACTATAACCATAATCAAAAATAAAATGTCAGTACTGATACTACTCCAAAAAGCTTACCATCTTCATCTTCTTTCCAATCGTCTCCATCATTCTCGTCCTCTTTATCATCTTTTCTTGGCAACACAGTGTGCTTTGTTGGCAAGTCATCCTCCAGTGCATTTGTATCACAATCTGCTGCGTCAGTCACACTTTCATCCTCCACAATATGTAATTTGTCTTCATCATCTGTATCCGAGTTTGTTTCTACGACATTATTATAGTTGGTAACTGCAAAAAAAATTGAACATGTGAAAAATTATAGTATTCTGCATAACTTCTGCACTTTTGCAATTCTCACATCACAGTACTTAAAAAGAACTCAAATCAAAGACTGGGTAAATTCTACTTTGGAAAAAATCAAAATATTTGCTAGTAAGGTCAATTCCTTTATATTTGGAATTTTAGGAACAATTCTGCATCTCTGGATAATTAAACAAAATAAAATGTTAGATTCCTACCAGAAGACCTGAGTTCAAATCCCAGAAACTTTCATTGAAGTGCACTTATAATAATAATAATCCTTGCATTTGATATAGTGCTTTTCACGTCGGGAGGACGTCCCAAAGCGCTTCACAGAACACACTGTATTGACTGTATATTTGTGGGCGAACGCGGCAGCCAATTGCGCACAGCAATGTCCCACAAACAGTCGTAGATTAAAAATGACCAATTTATTATTGTTTTTGGAGGGATTATTATTAGGTGTGTGGAGTAAGGAAACTTGCCCAAGGTTTCGCCCTGCCTGGAATTGACCTCAGGTCTCTCGCTTGCAAAGTGAGTGCTCTAACCACTGAGCTACAGGACTCCACACTTTCCTTAAGTGAGATCATTTTGTTTTTTTTTCCCACATTTGAGATGCAATACAAATTTACATTTTTATAGGGCCTTTCACACCGGAAACATGTTCGAAAGCACATAACTATACTAGGTGCCTAGTATTCCAAGCTGGAAATAGAAGCTGAGGGGGCTGGGAAAGATGACTGAAAACACAGTCAAAGAGGTAGATTGAGACGAATTTTGAATCAGGCCAGGGAGAGAATTGGAAAGACTCTTGGATGGAGTACCAGAGAGTGTGGGAAGAAAGCTGTCTGTCAATGATGGGCTAGGTAGGGTCATGTTGATTCTTTTTGGTCAATGACCTTAACATTTTTTTTTGCGCGTGTCTGAAACATGCAAAAATCTGTCACTGGAGCATATTAGGTATAAGTTGGCAAGAGTCCAATAATAATAATTGGAACTCCAGAATGTGTTTTAAAGTACTGCCTGAAACACTGTGTTCAATTATCAACTAACACAAATACAATATATACTAATTTTCTCAGTCAAAGTGGTATAAATGACAAAACAAAATGTGTTCAGATGTCAACATAAACTTCAAAGAGAATGATGTATCGATACAAATGTGTTCATTTTAACTTCAAATTATGATCCAAAATAGTTTGTGACAAGTTCACAGTAGTACGTGAAAAATGACATGTAATGTGATATGTATCCGAAGGGAAAATTATCAGTTAAAAATTACAGTTCTAATATTGAGGGGTTTTGAGTGCGAGTCCACGTCTCCCACCTCCCTTCCTCCAATTTCAACACAATGGTTTGGTTTAAAGAGTTTAACATATGCCATTGTTGTTGCCGCCACCGCTGCCAATGTTTCCCTACCACATCACAGAACTGATTTGAGATAGGCCAGTATCCTGTGCAGCGAGCGGCAACAATATTGGTCACCACAGTCTTCAGGTCAACCAAGTGCATCAAAGTCTTTGAGGTGGGGGAAGCAGGGGAAATACTCACATCTGAAACTAGCTAATATTAAAGACTGTTTGGAGTGTTATGTAATAATTATCTGTGGAGTGTTTTTCACCCCCACGTCTCTGAAAGATTTGTTTTACCTTTAAAATTGTTAATTTTATCAAAGTGCCTAATTTATTTTAGCAGAGACCCAGCCAACATTATTTTTGTTCTGTGTCTGATGCATAGAGAAATCCACCACCATGCTTAAAAGTATCCAAACCAGATTGAGTTCCATGTATGTTACCTACACATGGAAATTCCTGTATACATCAGTCTGAGGTACGTCAGTCTGGCTCATAAGAACGTAAGAAATGCTAGACAAAAAAAGACCACGGTCCATCTAGTTCGCATTCACATATGTCCCAAACTATCTATATACTATATCCCATAATGTTATTTCCTAAAAGAAAATAATGTGTGTTTGAAAGAATCAGCACTTCCTGCTTCAACCGTCTCCCTAGGTTCACTATTCGCTCACTAAAATAGTGATTGCATAGATTTGTTCTGAATTTACCCCCTTCAATCGCAGGCCGTGTCCTCAGTTGGAAACACTCTTGTCTTTGAATCAAAAAGCTAAGGGTTCAAACCCCACGTCGGGACTTGGAACCCATATAGTCTAGGCTGACACTCCAATGCAATATTGTGGGTATGCTGCATTGTCAGAGGAACCATCTTTTGGATATGACCTTAAACCGAGGTCTTGTCTGGCTGTTCAGATGGTTGTTAAAGATCCTATAGCACTACTTGAAAAGAGAAGGGAGTTTCTCCCTGTATCCCAGCCAACAATCCAGCAAACACAATTGGTTATAACTGGATTCCACAGTTAAAATTGGACTCCATAGCTGTTTGTGGGACATTGCTGTGTACAGATTGGCTGCTGGGTTTGCCCACAAAATACAGTCTTTGTATCACTTTGAAACATCTTAATGATATGACAAGGCACTATCTATCAAATGCAAGGATTATTATTACAACCATCTGTTGTGCATTCTGGGCTGTTGCAGTCACCTAACCCTTGGAAGGTCATTATTGCTCCAGAGAGGTTACAGAGGTGAATAATCACAAGGGTTTCAGATCCACATACCTAGGTTATAAGAAATAAACACCCAATATGCTGGAAATACAAAAAGAATCAATCAAACCTGCTGCCTGTATCTCTGGAGAGCTGGGTCAGAGCCATATAAGGAGGAGGAGGCAGATGAATGGCTTGAGAGCAACTAATAATATACACGATTATTAGGCCAAATGTTTCTCTACAAATTCTTACGTTTGTTCATTTTCAGTGCATTCACATATTGTAGCTTAGTAGTTTGAGCCCTCGCCTCGTAAGTGAGAGGATCTGGGTTTGATTCCCAGGCAGGGCGAAACGTTGGACAAGTTTCCTTATTCCACACGCCTCTGTTCCACCTAGCAATAAGTAGGAACCCGGTTGTTAGATCGCTTTTCCAGGGGTAACAATTCCTTAAGAAAAAAATTGGACCCTAAATTCAGGACTTTATGTGGACACTGCTGTCCGCAATTGGCTGCTGTGTTTCACCCACAATAATAGTCAATTCACTTTACAGTATATTCTGTGAAGCTCTTTGATAAGTCTCGAAGACATGATAAGGCGCTATACAAATGCAAAAATTATTATTAAAGGAACTCTTCTCCCCACTAAATATTTATTATGTTGCCAAGGTACCTAACACTTTTGCAATTCACAAGTTAGTTCATAACTGTGAGGAATGTTGAGAAACATTAGTCAACAGCTTTAAATCTCTAGCTTTTGTGGTCAGATTTATAGACGAGTCTGAGGTGTGGAGTATTAATTGGTGTAGAGCAATCCGTGAAAATGGGATATTGATTTGGGAGATCAAGATCAATGAAGCCTTTGAAGGCTGTTTGGATGCTGTTGATTATTAGGAGTTAATTAGCATGAGATATACTGCTTTGTGCTTCTATATTGAATACAATGTTTTAAGATTAGAGGAGTTCATTGAATCAGCAAGACTAGTAAATATGTTTGTTTTAATTTTTGTTTTTGTCCATTGATTGCAACAATAATTTCACTCAGTGTATATAAATGAAGTTCCTCAAAATGTAATGTAGTAGTTCCCACTTATCACAGGTTTTTATACAAACACAAAGTGGACTTTTTTTTAAAAAATGAGGAAATAACCTTACTAATCATAGAATCATACAGCACAAAAGGAGGCCATTCAGCCCATCGTGTCCCTTATCGTGCTCTTGAAAGAGCTGTCCAAATTAATCCCACACCCCTGCTCTCTCCCCATAGCCTTGCGAATTTATCCTCCCCAAACACCTTTTCACTTTTCTCTTGAAAGTTGTTATCAAATCTGCTTCATCACCCTTTCAGGAGGTAAATTACAGATCCGAAGAACTTACTGCATGAAAAAAAATTCCATTATGGCATGATGACTCTTTGCATGTTCACAAGCAAAGTTTCTACTACAACAGCAAGCAATTCAATTTGTAATACAATTTTTTTGTCAGCTGGTGTCAGATATACATGGAAACTCATCACAATGCTTAATATCCAAACCAAACTGTCCACATTCGCACAAAAATGTTTCCGTTGAATGTAATGGAGTAGGTACTCTCTCCCCAAAGGGCTGCACACTGCTCACCTAATTACAACAATAACAAAATTACATTTGTAAAGCACCAAGTTACAGAAAGTATTAGACACAGCTTGGCAAGAGTCAGGGCTTGGGACCCCATTGTGCACATTGGGGGACTGCTGGAGTTTAACTCGGTAAAACTGTTCAGCTTGCCATTCTGAATACTTTCTGGCCAGCTTCCCTTTGCTTTTCAGCTAACAAATCCTTTCCATTAGTGCTTTGGCTTTGAGTGTTAGCAAGTGTGAAGCATTCCTGCCCTCATAAATGCTAATTTTTAAAAACGTGGTTTGTACTTTATTAACATGCAATTAAATAGATACACTTTTCAGCAGTGCTTCAATCCAATCTACTACATTAAATGTCTTGTACAGAATCTCCATTTCTTTATTAATTCATCCAATTTACAGCTGGGGCTGAAGATATGCAATGTTGTTGTATACCTCTTCACGTTGTATTCCATGACCTATTTATTTTCCACCATAACATCAGTCTTTTCTCAACAATTTATCATTTTATAAGTTCAGTGAATTTCTATGATTTGTAACGATAAACTGGATGGATAAGCTAAAAGCTACTTTTTCCATGAACCAATTAAACACTGAAACTACACCTTCACAAAATTCAAGAACACAGAAACCATTAAAATCAATGACACATTCAACTTGCAGCCAAAGGAATATGAGTGGATACAGTCCACTTTGAGATAGCTTTCTCCTACCCTGGGATAAGTTACCAGAAATGCATTTGGTAGCACAATTTTTCCTGGCCCAGATCTAAGATTTCCTTCATTGCTAGTTCTTCTCACATGGAGAC